GGAATGAAGATCCAGGACAGAGTGGGTTGGAGAATGCTGGTCAGTGACCTATGCTCCACTATTGGGAGTAACAGGCGTAAGTAAATAAATAAGTAAATGACTCACATTATAATTTATAAATTGTCGACTATATATTAGCTATACAACTTCTGTTTAAAACAAACTATAGAATGCTGTTAACGTATTGTTACTATAATAAATATCTACTGATTGACACTACAATTTATATTACTGAAGAAAGGTAGGCACTTAGCAACAATAACTTACTTTAAACCTAAATAGAAATAAGTATCATATATTGAATCTAGAATAAATCAATTTATTGAAACATGATACAAGTCCCTAACAATAAACACATATACTCAGTTACCACTTATAGAAAAAAAAATACCCAAATTGATCATTCTCTCTAGGTGTGGTATATGCTACTTATGATAACAGATATAAGTAGTATGTAGAATCAATCGGAAATGAAATACCTGTGAGTAGAAGATTAAGATTAAAATGAAGAGAAGATAAAAGAGAATATAATCAAAATAACAATAGGGATGAAGGATAGATAAATTTTGTAAGAGACAACTCAAAGAAGATGTGTAAATGATTAATTTAGTGTATGGTTTTCATATTTTGGATGTATTATCCATGAACAAGGAGGATCAGATGCAGACGTAAAGGTGAAGATTGGCAAAACAAGGGTCACATTCCTACAATTGAAGAACATATGGAACTTAAAACAGCTTTTAATCAATATCAAAGCCATAATTTTCAATACGAACGTCAAGACAGTTCTACTGTACCGAGCTGAAACTTGGAAAACTACTACAACCATTATCAGGTAGGTATAAGTATTTATAATTAGTTGTTTACGCGAGATACTCAACATCCATTGTTCGGATATCATCAGCAACAGTCATCTGTGAGAGAGAAAAAACCAGGTTCCAGCTGAAGAGGAAACTAGGAAAAGACGATGGAAATGGATAGGATATACATTACGCAAATCATGAAACTGCATCACGAGGCAATCCCTAACTTGGAATCCTGAAGGGAAGTGGAAAAGAGGAAGGCCAAAGAACACATTACGTCGGATAATAAGAGCATATATGAAAAGGATGAATAACAACTAGAAAGAGCTGGAAAGTATTGCCCAGGACAGTGTTGGATGGAGTATGCTAGTGGGCGGTCTATGCTCCTCCACGTGGAGTAATTGGCATAAGTAAGTAAGTTGCATATTTCGCCTTATCACTATGTTATTCCGAACTGGACAATAAGTTGTTTATCTCTATTACATTGTCGTTCACTTTATGAGCAGACGGGATCATAGAATGTACACTTCCCTCTTGCGTTAAATGTCACCAACGGGAAAATGTAAACCCTTATGAATGAATCCATATATTGTAAATTGTATCCGTTGCAGATCGATTTTTTAGAGTAGGAGTGAAAACTTGAAGGAACTGGATAGATTTCTCACCCTATTATAGGATTCATTAACAGTGACCACACCCACATAGTGATTAACCTCTATGCTAGTTCCCAACTTCATCACATATCTACATCATCAGTTAACAACAGTTTCTACACTACTTATTATCAATCAGTAGCTTGACCAATAAAATTACAAATTTAATTAGTCTGACTGCTACGTTCAGTAAATGTTCGATCATCGTAATCAATCATAATGAACTACTCTTAGTCAAACAAGCATTATAACCTAAGGATCGCTAGATAGCTATTTTGCCCTACTGCAGAATTCTCAGTAGTATAAGTATACAACCCTACCACGAGTTGAACCCAAGATTTTCAGCCTAGTATACAAACGTTTTATCACTTCTAAACTCTCTACAGTTATTAATCACATGCTCACTAATCATTACGTTCTGATGAGAAGCCATGAGCAGTGAATTTTAACCATGTTTACTTTGGTCCAGTTACCTATTAAGTACATTAGAAGATAGTTGAGTAGCATTACAGATTGATAAAAGTTAAATATGTAAACCAGTCGATGAAGTTACTTTCTGCTTTACAGTTTTATTTAAAGTGAGCTGTCTGGTTAGAATTTATGTAAAAACTTTGGGTGCCGTCATCATTGATCAGATAGTAACTCTCCATACTCTTTATCTAGGTATCATTTATCATGTACAACTTACAACAGTCATTTAAAATACAATCAAGTAATATCTTGTCCTATCTATCCATTACCACTTAACATATGTATCTCTCTCTTTGGCCTCTTTATCGTCATAGGTAACTTCAAAACTGTAAATGAATTGATCATCAGATGCAATCACACAGATTGAAAGATGTATTTGTGGTTTACATCAAGAACTGACTGATCTTAGTTAGACTATCATTTAAACTTTGGAAATTCTACCACCTTCACAAATCTCCATATCATAGCAGTAATCATATGTTCACTAATAACTAACTTGGAAATACAACTCTTGAAATACTAATGAGAATCTATGACCAGTGCAGTTCAACCATGTCTGATGTGATAATTTTATGCAATGGATGACAGTTGTGTACAATCTCGAATCGGTTAGAGATGAACACATATTAGTATATATATATAGTCAATATAGTCTAAAAGATAAGCGTTCACGTGCAATACCATAAGTCCTGAGTTCAATTAATCCTCGATCCTGAAGTTTTATGTGTACAATTATAAGGAGTCCAAACCAAGGGTAAAATAACTACCTAATGCTTTTGTGGTGTGCGCTACTTATATTCAAATAAGTAGTTTATAACGATAGTCAGGAGTAAAAGATCGAGCAGGAAAGAATGGGAAAGGAAAGCAATCAGCATGAAAATGCACGATCAACATTCAATTGTTCCCACTTGTGTTCTTTGTTTACTACACTTTCAGGTCTTCTATGCTTATCTAATGTATAATATTTGACAGAATATATAGAAATGTTTACGAAATTTTTTGATTAAGATCATAAGCCGATTGATGTTAAACAACCATTGAAACCTGGAAGCACTGGACCGTCATTTCATCCTATTGTAGGACTCCTCAGCAGTGCGCATCTATGACCCCGCCTCGCGGACTTCGAACCCGAGACCTATTGGTCTCGCGAGCGAACACTCAACCTCTAAACCATCGAGCCTGCCGGAATCCAACGGCGTAGCCATTCATAAATTAATGGAAGTTAGACATTAACACCGTTTGATGCCGGCTCAATGATCTAGACGTTAAGCGTTAGCGTGTGAAACTGAAGTTCCTGGGTTCGAATCCAACGTGTGGGGCCATGGATGCGCACTACTGGGGAAACTTACACTAGGACGAAACGGTCATACAGTGATCTCAAGTTTTCAGTGGTGATCTAACATCGATCAATATATTTTATCGATATTTTTAAAACTCGATATCGGTCACCCATCATTTATCCATCTGCTACAATCAATTGTTTTGCCATCTACCATATATAAGCTCCTTGAATTCCAATAAACTTATTTCTTTCTTTGTTTGAAGAATGAATACGTAAGAAAATTTGCCATCCAGATAAAAGTACAAAACTTTGTCGAAATCATTCAATTGAGGTGCAAATCTTCTTCATCATCACAAGATAATTCATAATTTATCTGAATAGTAATTAACGGAGTTAGTAATAGTATTGTAAAAATTGAATTTATGAGTTGATTTAAGTTAGACATTAATACCATTAAATACCGGTCTATTGATCTAGAGGTTAAGCATTTGAACTCAACACAGAGAAAGAGAGTCCTGAGTTCGAATTCCATGTGTGTAATCATAGGTGTAAACTACTGAGGAGTTTCATATTGGGACTCTAAGTTTTCAATGAAGCTAGACCACCATAGAGAACCTGAGAGCGCTGAACGGTCGTTTCGTGCTATTGTAGGACTCTTTAGCAGTTCTCATCCATGAACTCGACTCACGGGATTTGAATCCAGGACCCGTCGATCTAGCACGCGAGCTTTTAAACACTAGGCCACTGAGCCGGTATCCAACTAATCCACGAAATTGAGTGACAGATCTACCATTGTCATCAATGAGTTACCATCTCACGATAGACCTGGTTGAACTCCACTGATCACTGCTTCTCACTAGAACTCCAGGATATCTCTCTTGAAGTTAGTCACTAGTGAGCATATGTTGATTAATATCAGAAGGGATTTTATGGAGATTGTAGTAATTTCAACAGTTGAGATCATGAATCATTTAAAGCTAGATCACCATGGAAAACCTGGAAGCACTCTACGGCCATCCCGTCCTATTGTGAAACTCCTCAATAGTGCGTACTCAAGATCCTGACTCGAAAGATTCGAACCTAGGACCTATTGCTCTCACATGAAACCGGTTAACGTCTAGACCACTGAGCAGACATCCAACGATATGAATGTCTAACCTCAACTAATCTATGAAATTACGCAACCATTTTTCATTGTACTGAAGTAGATAACTATCTCTATCCGACACGGATTAACTTCACTGGTCACAACTTTTCATTAGAACTCATTTCAGTTTATTTTATGGATTTTGAAAAACGGAAATAAAAATCATTTTTATTTTTATCAATATTTATTCATTAAAATCATTAAATAAATTTTTTATCGTTTCACCTTAAATCAATAAAATAAATTAATTCAATTCTATTCACGCCTATATTTAAATTCGCATTCTGATTGGTTAGGTTTGTCAAGGTTATAATAATTAGAATTTTATGATTGGTTAATTAAGAATAGACTCATAATACGCCTATGATTTATGATTGGTCAATTTATAAAATGTGGCTCAAATTTTAAAAATATAAACATATATATATATATATAAAATTGTAAATGTTATAATCGTTTCTAATGTTTATTCCTTAATTAGATAAACAATAAACAAGCAAACAAACAAACAAAACATGCTTAACAACTAATACAAATATGATGATCATTTGTAAGATAATTACATAACTTGAAAGGTTTCTTTGTGCAATTACGTATCTATCTATCTATCCATCTATCTATCTACCAATCTATTTATCTATGTCATGTTAGATGATTTTATCATTAATCAAAATCAAATTGAATTGAATACAGTCGATTTAAATATTGACAATGTTATTCATTCATCATCATCATCATCACCGTCATCGTCATCATCATCGTTGTCATCATCTTATGCAATATCATCTGTAGAGATATGGGCACTTATATTAACATTTTTATATTATGCAATAATGATTTGTTTAGGTATATTATGTTGGTTAAATGCTAAACGTAAATATAAAAATCGTCAAAAATCAATAGATATATCAACATGGTCACGTTTTCATATTGGTCCTAATCAATTACATATTAAATATACAGATGATGATGGTGATTCTATGACTAATTAATTAACATAGTAAACACAAATTTCAGATAGAAGTTTGTACTGATGATATAGTTCAGAAGAACAATGAAAACTCCACAACCAAACTATCCAGCTCAAAGAACAAAACTCCATCAAAATCATCCATCTAAGCTACAAATCTTCTCCAACATCACGTAAATGGAACGTATATATCATTTTGTACAGATTATATTCATAGAAAAACAAACCTTCCACTTTATATGTTTCTTTATGAGTTTACTGAAATCAATCAGGATTTATTATTCCATGCCAACTTGTATATTATATATATGTGTGTATGTGATTAGTTCCTGTGTATAAACATGGATATATGTGTAAATTGAATGATGTAATTGTAGGTTATTTATTATTCAATACTTAAAAAAAGAATGTAGTTGATAAATAATGAAATATATTTATATATTACTGAAATCATAATGGTCATTTTATACATTATATTAATTTCAATAATTGAGATCATGAATCCATTGAAACTAGATCACTATGGAAAACCTCGAAGCACTAGATGATCGTTTTGTCTTATTGTGGGAATCCTTAGCAGTGTGCATCCATGATCCCGTACCGCAAGATTCAAACACAGGATTTATCAGTCTTTCACGAGAACATTTAACCACTAGATCATTGAGATGATATCCAACAATGTTAATGTCTAACTTTAACTAATCCACGAAATTGAGTCATCGTCCACCATTGTCATCAGTGAGTTACTATCTGTTGGTTTTCCATGGTGGTCTAGCTTCAATTGACTCATGATCTCAACTATTGAAATTATTATAATATTTACAAAACCCCTTCGCCCATAAATTATAGTCTCACCGTAAGATTATTTGCAGATATAATCTCTCAATCACTAGGATCATTTATCATTTACTAAGTAGTAATCAATATTATATTGTATTTAGGCTAGTTAAATGAGATCGATTAGTTTGTTTCACTTGATAAGGTATCTATGATAAACAAATTGAACTAGTCACATGTGAGAATTGATGTTTTCCCGTTGTTAATGTAAAGAACCTAAATTGACCGGTCTGTATTAGTATATCCACATCCTGAGTGCATTTCCTTGAAGAAGTCTTGGAGTTAGGAGTTCTCACTATGTAGAAATTGAAGCTAGAAAAGACGACTTTATTAGGACTCGTTGATTGAATACGTCTGTATCTGAGTATTAATGTTCACCTTGAGAATCAAACCTGCTGTTCGTCGCTCCACTTGCAGTCATAGATATCTAACATGTTGAATATTTTAGTAGCTATCTAAATTCAGTAACTCAGTGGATAATGCGTTAATGCTTGAAACGATTCTTACTTGTTTGAGTCATATTGTACATATCAATTCTGGGTTTCAGGTAAAAACTGGACGAAACTTACATTTTGGATTCCATTGAATGCTACATTTTAAATATAATGTGGATCAAAATAATGATCCATGCAAATAAATATTAATATCAGTTGTTTTGTGGAAATTGTAGTAATTTCAATAGCTGAGATCATGAATCAGTTGAATCTAGACCACCTTGGAAAACCTAGAATTACTAGCTGGCTGGTTCGTCTGATTGTGGGACTCCTTGGCAGTGCACTTCCACGGCCACGCCTTTTAAGATTCGAATCCAGGACATATCGGTCTCGCGCGCATGCGTTTAACCACTAGACCACTGGACCGGCATCTAACGGCGTTAATGTCTAACTTTAACCAATCCACGAAATCACACCACTGTCCATCATTGTCGTTAGTGCGTTACTGCCTCACAACAGACCTGGTTGAACTCCACCTGTCACTGCTTCTCAGCAGAGCTCCAGGATATCTCTCTTGAAGCCAGTCACTGATGAGCATATGTTGAATAATGTCAGAAGGGATTTTATGGAGGTTGTAGCAATTTCAATAGTTGAGATCATGAGTTAATTGAAGCTAAACCACCATGGAAAACCTGGAAGCACAATGAGTTTTATACAAAGCCATCATGCATCTCCCTTTAAAATGCATGTGAATAGGTGATAACATCAAGAAGATGCTCATAGAATACACATATGTCAACAAGTGACTGATCGATTTCAATCCTAAACATCAATGGGAAGATTCAAACAACCAATACAAATGAATGATAGGTCTTCTGAAATGACTCTTTAGAATATTAACATTTAGTCAGTATATTAACTCATTAGTTGTTCAGTGTTTACTTAAGAGAAACATCTGTAAAATGACTTTCAACATGGATTAATTTGAGCTAGTCATAGATTGATTATCAAGTAGCATTGGACAAATGCTTTGTTGTATTATAGGACATTTTAAAAATCCAGACCTTCAAATCTAATAATGATAACGCTACCCTCAGATGATTTTGTTGACATTCATCTGATGAATCCCATGAAGGACAAAACACGCAACTTGTAGAAGATCTTTATAGATGCGTAAGTTATGCAAAATCTGTTTACACCTTGTTAAATTATTTTATTTTCTTCTTCATAAAATATCCATTTACAAATGTTGTTTTGTGACTAACTAGAAATTAACCAGAAATTCAATGAGGTTGTTTTAATCTCATCCTTATACTATACTTTCAAGAAAGAATATGTTTCAGGCGTAAATGGTAACAGATAAACTATGAATATAAATCGAACATATCAGAGCAATAGTACCGGACTACTTAATTCCTGATTTTCACCCAGGCGGCCTAGGTTCGACTCCCGGCGCGGGGAAGTTTTCTGCCCGAAATGCTCTAATTCTACCAAGAGTGGGGAGAGTTCGCTCTCCCTCTCTCGAACTTCTCTCACATAGCCAAGTGTATAAGGCCACTGCATGGGAAGTCCTACTCACAACTTTCTCGAGGCATTAGTGTTGCTTACAAAATTAAGAGAACGAAAAGTGATTATCCGACTCCTGAACCAGTTTATCGGGTACTAAGGGTCCATTTAGGGGAGTTGGAAAACCTTTATTCCAAACCAATGGTGCACATGAGCTCCGATATGCTGAAGGAACAAATGGCGTATGAACAAATTATTGGTCACCGGCTACCATGGGACTGTATCTCTTGACGGCTCCTAGTGTAGCTCCCTAAGAGAACCACTTGGTTCGGTATGGGCATCCGAGCAGTATCAAAACCTACACACAAATCAAGTGACTTTTTTGGTGCATATGCATTCGGTGCCCCTATGTACCAATATTTGTGTGTTGAAAACATTAACTAAAATAAGTATAAATCCTTTTATCTATGTAAAGTAGATCATCGGTAACTATCTAAATTCATATAGAGGAAACATAGAGATATAGAAAAACATATGTAACAAGGTACATACTCAAATAAGTTATATTATAAGTCATTATACAATAATGAATACAATATGAATTAGAGAATTACAATGGCAACTAAATGGAAGTTTACAAAATAAACAATAAGATTAAAATGATCTTTTATCATAATGGCGTCAATGTACACCCTTTTTGTCTTCCCTTAAACTATGAGATTAAAATCGCTTTATATCTTTCGTTTTATCAACTAATTCTTTCTTTCTGTATTATATCCTTATATTTAATCTTTGTTTTACATATTACTAATATTAGCCTCCAAACGCCCTGGTACGGCTAAGAATAGGGAGAGTCCGCTCTCCCTTTCGAAATGCTCTCATATGGCCACGTGTATACAACTACTACTATGGAAGTCCTACTCACTGCCTTCTGAGGTGTTGTTTACGAAATTGAGAGAACGAAAAGTGAATATCCGACTCCTTAACCAGGTTGGTGGACGCGGAGAGTCCATCTAGGAAAGTTGGAAAAACCTCATTCCAAACCAATGTTGCACATGGACTCCAGGATCCTGATGGAACAAATGGCGTATGATGATCACAAGCAACCATGTGACTTTATCTCCTAACGTTTCTCCACTACCTTTTGGATTGGACCATCAGGTCAAAGGCTCCGAGTGTAGCCCCCCAAAGAAAACCATCTACTTCGGTTTGGGCACACTGGAAGTACTTCAACCCTCACATCAATCGAATGATTTCTGTGGTGCATATCTATTGTACAAAATGATGTTTTTATTTTATAGTACGATGTGTTATGCTTGATTGGTATATAAGCAGAGTGTGTTTGAAATATAACGATTCATAACTCACAGACTATGACTTGCGTTCTGAGTTCAACTGGCTGGGTTAGACAGGGAAGTGGGATCAATCGAGACTCTAGGTCATCCTTACGTGTTTTCCGTGTCATTGTAATCGATCGATATAAACGCTGCTCCATCTAACCTGCAAACCACCCGTTACAACACATTCAATTAAATCAATGAATCACTTGAAACATTTCAATATTTCTATCATATATTTTAAGTGACCAAAATAACTTCATAGTAACTATATTAATATCAATTATTGGTATAACCTCACACAAATTATTGAATACCATTAAGATTATAGATAAGCTTCATTGAATTCTAATAACTACCATAGAAACTTAGGTCAAAATAATAATTTCCTGTTGATTTATTTTTAATCAATGAATATCAATTTTCATTAAAATTTTATTTTAATTAACTATTTTTTTTAATTTTATTTTCATTAGTTGTTATGAGATATTACATTAACAATAACAAACAAACAAACAAAAATGGAAAAAAATGTAAAAAAAAAACACAGAAAAAATCAATTAATTTAACGTCTCCCTCCCTCCTTCTTCTTCTCCTCCTCCTCCTCCCCTTCCCTATTTTATTCATTATTCCCATAATGAGGTCAATTTTAATATACTACTTATATATGTTTTATTATTATTATTATTATTCTCTTCAAGAGAAAAAAAACTAACTGTCAAGAAAAATTCTAAAAATATCATTAAAAAGAATCATTGTTGTCATTGTTTTTGTTGTTGTTGTTGTTGTTGGTGGTGGTGGTGGTTGTGGAAGAGGAGGAGGAGACGGGTGGAGATGGTGGTGATGGTCTATTGCTGTAATAATGGAATATTTATACTTTAATAATTTATTAGGTCAGTATAATTGAA